CACTGGAGACTTGGAAAACTGTGTCCAAATATGTATCCAAATATATATACGTCTCACAAAAGATTCATTCGTTCTTTCTCTTGTCCCTTGTACTTTTACTAGTGGCTATTCCTATTTTTCTGAACCACTCGAATAATCCAACCAGAACCAAACCAAGTGGTTGATTTAGGTTGGTTCTAGTTGAAATCTAACCGTTTCTAGTTCTTAGAACAGTGATCATAATAGTTTTAGTGGTCCGATAATTGATTATACCTCCTACATAATCAAATTTATTTCGGTTCCAATTCGTTTTATAATTTGGATATTGAAATTAAATTTTGTAACACGATAACTTAAAATAACACACACATTTTACAATTTTTTTTTAAAACATAAAAAAGAATCGAATCGAATCGAATCGAATCGAATCGAATCGAATCGAATCGAATCGGTCATTTCTAATTTGGATCGATCCCTTAAATGTTGCTTGAGTAAAATATTTAGTAATACTCGATTGAATTTAGTTATCTGCCGTGGGACACAAATAAATAAAAATGAAAGCTTTGGAGGTTTGGTTAGTTAAAAGGATTATTACATGAAAAAGGACCAATGGTGACAGTTGAGCAATTTGCACAAGAGGGATTGGTCGGACGGTTTATGACAGCCCAGAGACGGTCCAAATGGTCGATGTTTCGCTCCGAGTCTCCAAAACGCCACATTTATTACTATATAGATTTTGATAGTTAAAAAGTTGATAAAAGTTATGAATCTCATGAAATATATAATTAAAATTAATTATTACTCGTATAAAAATGTGACGTCGTAACTTAAGTATAGACTTTTACTCTGTGGAGCATTGGATCTCATGTCTTGTCAAATCAACGTAATTGATGTAATATTTTCTCCTTTCTTACAATTTCTTGTGAGCGTGTTATGAAAGTGAGCCAAACATGGACACGCTCTCATAATTTGTTAGTCAATTTCATAAGTGGTCACTGAAGTTCAACTAAATTCTGCATTGGTCCTCAAAGTATTTTTTGACTAATTTAGATACTTGTTACTATGATAAAACTAAAATAGGGGGTCAGTTGAAAGGAATCGATTGCTATAATGATAGTTAGTTCACATCAAATTTTAACGGATGGTACGTATTAATCAGACTGATAAAGTAACTAATTATGCAATATTATTTAACTTTAGTCGCTAGACCCTTATCCGAGTTCCATTTTTTGCCAAAATGCAATTTGGAATAATGTTTTATTGGAGAACGTGTGATTAAAAAATTCTAAAAAAAAGTTGAATTTACGTACAATATTATATTATGAAAGATTGCGTATTTGAAAATGAATTTGGAAAATATATTTTAAAGACCAGTACCCAGCGCGCGCCCCACACACACACATCTTGTCCACATGGATCCAAGAAGGGTTGACAACCGCCAAAATGGTCCAGGCCACGAGATTCTTGTGGGATAACTACACTACAAGTGATTGATGGGCCCCCGTCTACAGTGGCCCAGTTTCGGACTCCCAAAAACTTCAACTCTTCAAATTTCATTGAGCCAACAAATTTTAATCAGCCCCCTTCTAATTTTGGGGATTTTTTTAGCAGATGACGAGGTCAACTTTTTCTCTGACTTCCCTGTCCATGGAGGATATGGACACCTCATACTTTTTCCCTATTTTCTCGTGAACTAATCATGGATTGATTGTACGCCACTTTATCTCGTGAGCTAATCATGGGTTGAAGTTTCTCATTGTACAAGAAAAAATGATCAAGTTGTTCTACTAATTGTTGTCTTAAATTGGTATTTCCTCATGCTAGCAATTTGATCTACTAAATTGTTTTTCTAAATTACGTCCATCAACTTGTTTTAAACAAAATCTAGACGTTTTTTTGGTTTGAAGTGTTCGGACGAAGTCTTAATTCGTTAGAAATGATATAAATGATGGTCTTAAAAGGGATTGAACTACTTTACCGATTGAATTTATCTTTTAGGACATAACCCGCCCCAATACCCTACATTTTCAATATTTTGCCATACTCTGCATGATGAGATTAAAAGGAACTGAGCTACTTTACCGATGGAATTAACCTCTTAGGGTTGACTCGATTCCCTATATTTTTAAGATTTTGACAATGAATAATTGTACAACACAACAATTAAACAATTTCTATAGGGACCATGAACCTATTGAAGCCAAGACCTCGTAGCACCTTCTTAAAACTTACATGAACCATACAAATCTATATTTATACTTTTATTTGTTTTGAATGGAGAGATCACATGCATTTAAACGTGCAAAGTATGAATTGATAAGGGTGAATAGAATCACAACTTGTGACTAATTCAAACCTACTTTGAATAGAGAATCGAAGGGACTCAAAGTTTCCAGTATATATTAGGAGAATGTAAGACTTCAATTTAAAATCCCAGTTGGAGGCCAACTGATATAAAGTGTAAGTCAATATGCAATAGGTTGTGAACACATTTATATAATACGAAGTTGGTGAAAATTATGATCTTAATTTCTTCACTCTCGTTAAAGAACGTTACCTAATTGAAATCGAATCAAATCAAAATTTCCATTGTTTTGTAGTAGGAATGACAAGACCTTATTATTTTTTATACATAAAGAAAATCATTTATTCTATACGTGCGTGCGTGCGTCAGTCAATTCTTATGCATTTTTCTATAATATTTAAGGGTTTCGATAGGAGCGGCTGTCGTTTTCTTTGAAAATTGTCATTAGTTTCCATGTTTAACAGCATCGATCAAGAATGCCAGAAGGGTCAATTGATACTTCTGGACATGATTCTGTTTCTTTCTGATAGTTGAATGAAGAAAGGAATGAGAGAAAGTTGGGCCATATTTCCCTGAGACACTGAACAAATTTACAACTATACAATTAATTAAGGATTCAATAGGACCCCTCGAATTGTCTTATTTTCTGTGATGTAACGCGGTTTTGCTTTCTCAAACGTTGTATGTTAGTGAGTATATGGAAGAATTATGTAGTTTATGTCTTGTTTTTAATTTCCTTCTGTAGTTCTTACAATCCTAGCTGTACTGCCGTGGCATAAGCTTAAGGGAAACAACGAGAATCGCACATGAAATTCAAACTTGTCGATTCGCTCATGAATGTCAAGAAAGAGAGAAAGTTGGGAGAAAATTCTTCATCAAATTTTATTCTAGCCAAAAACTGTCTTCCATTAAGGCTTACAGCCCTTAAAATACGAAACCCTAATGGAAATAATGAAATATTCGAAAAGAAAAGAAAAATAATGACTAAAATTAAAAGTTCTAGCACGTTTTTGAGGGCCTAAATGATGTATCGTTTTCACTTAAAATTAACCCACTCTCCTCCAAAATCCGACACTCTAAAAAACTATTTATGTCTAAGTCAATCCCATTTTGTTCACGAAATCTTCTTGCTTGTACGCCGTTCATATAGGTTGTAATTCTAAATAAGTCGAGAAAAAACCAAAAGTCCTCTCGACAAGAAAGATTAGACCCTGATTATTAACAATAACAAAAACAAAAACCATAAAACAATTATTAAAAGAAACTGATAAATTGACCAAAAAAATAAAAAAATAAAAAGTGTGAAATCTGAAAAAGATGTGGAAGGTCAATAAAAACAAAAGGAAAGGAGCTCTCGTTATTGTCATAATAGAGGGAGTGGTCACGGGCTTCTTTTGAGTCTTGACTATGCAGAGTCCCACACACACATAGTAGACTCCAAGACGTATACATCCCCAGCCTAGCTACATATATACATGCTTTGTCTGCGGCAATTGTACTCTGCCATCCAGCCCCACACTACCGGTATATGTATATGTATACCTCTGCGTATATACTACTAAAATTTGGAATTCTATCTTTAAATGTTAATTTTATTAAGAGGAGTCGCACGAGCTGTTGTTCTATATTTTTAACATGCCTCCGCACTTGAAATTCGTGTACTCGTTTTTTAGTATTAATTCTGTATGCACGTTTTTTAGTCTTAGTCAAATCAAACTGGTTGTTGGAACTAAATGAATCGTGATACCATAATGAGAACTAGGGTTCCATCTTAAAAAGTCAACATTAATAAGAGGACTAGTGCAAAACCTTTTTTAATGGTCTTGCAATATGGGATGTATCTCTTAATACATACCAACCTAAAAAATGCAAAACATGTGTGTGTAGACATTATGAAATGTTTACTCCGCGCACGTAATTTATGAGTGGAAATGAATATTTGTGCAATTTTACTTTGTATACTCGTGTACATTTTGATGAAATTTTTGGGTTATACTAGCGTAGTACTTATGTACGTGTTTGTGTTATTATCGGCTACCATGCTATTAATAAATTTCATTGATAGATTAGGGTTTAGGTTAGTAAATACAAAATGGGAAACTTGTAGAATTTATTGCCTTTAGACACTCAATAGTTACCAATTAATTTGTCAAAAAGTTAATTGTACCAATGTGGTGCACAAAAATCACTAATTTAAACTTTCTTGATCAAGTAATAAATATTAATTTGTAAGCAATTTGTACTTCGTCAAGTCTTTAGATAAAAGTTTTAGCGATTTTTTATTTTTTTTTTATGACGTTAGAGATAATAGTAGCTTCAAAAGGAAATAATTTGTTTATTTTTGTGAATGAGAAAAATCAATTCAATAATATATTAATGAAACATCCTTGCAAGTTGCAATAGCTTAATTAATTACTAACGAAAAAATATCAACTCTTTTCAATTCTCATTTTTCAGAATCAACGATTAACGTATCAATCCTCAACATTCATATAGAATCAATGAGATATTGATTCTCGACATTCAATTAAATCGAATAATTGCCTTGATTTGTTGGAATTGAAAAGGATATTGTAAAAAAGAAAAATAAAATTACCGTAATTTTCTAAAATAACAAAATTTACGGAGGAATAAAGAAAACTCCAAACCCACCGCTGTAAAACGGCCACCCTGTCCTGTAATTGTGGTGTCCCTTTCTAATCTTAAAAACACCTTAATGCAACGTCTCCCTCGCGATGTAGGGCCAGAAAGCTGTGTAGATCTTTCTATCAACTCCTCCACTTCCTTCTTCTCCCCTCCCTCTTATAGAGAGAGAAAGAATGGCTTATGTGTCTATGAGTCTTTGACTTCAGTTTACACCACCCCCACCGCACCCCACCCCACAACTCGTACATCTCAATTCTTGAAGTACTGGTGTATGAAAGTAGGACATCGAGTTAAGACTTGTGATGACTATATATTTATTGGGTTAGAATAGACTGTGAGGTGTAATTCGTTTATGGCAATTGCAGCAGCCATGAATAATCAAGATGAGAGCAAGGATGAACACGAACACGACATGGTCATGCCCGGTTTTCGCTTCCATCCCACCGAGGAAGAACTAGTTGAATTCTATCTTCGCCGTAAGGTAGAGGGCAAGCGTTTCAATGTAGAACTCATCACTTTTCTAGACCTTTACCGCTATGACCCATGGGAACTTCCTGGTATGTGTGTATATATATATATATATATATAATCTTCTTTATGAATTCTGTCCTTTTCTTTTTTATACTCAAATTGATGTTAATTTCTTTGTGCTGTAAATCTCAGCCTTGGCAGCTATAGGGGAAAAGGAATGGTATTTTTATGTTCCAAGAGATAAAAAGTATCGGAATGGAGATCGGCCTAATCGTGTGACAACTTCTGGTTATTGGAAGGCTACCGGGGCTGATAGGATGATCCGAAGTGAAAATTTTCGATCTATTGGACTGAAGAAAACCCTTGTTTTCTACTCCGGGAAAGCTCCAAAAGGAATTCGTACTAGTTGGATCATGAATGAATACCGTCTGCCACACCATGAAACTGAACGCCTGCAAAAGGTATGAATTTCATTCACCTCAATTAGATTCAGAATAATGTAAATATTTCATATATAATTAACTTGAAAATTGAATCTAACAAATACGTGCGACAATATGCCCAAAGATGAGAGCTTTTTCGTGTTCCTCCTCGATCATCTTTTCTTATAATCCATCTACACAAAAAGAGCAAGTGGCTGATTTTAAAGAATACATACCCACTCTCTGAATCATCCAAATTAAACCCAATATCACTGGCTTCAAATAGCCCATGTTCTGAAATCATTCGGTCTTTCTTTCCCTTGATTGAACACTGCAAAATCAGTGTTATCTTTAATCTATTTTTTTGGTTCCGTTGAGCCTAGTTCATGAAAAGAAACTAGCTTTTATACCAAGAAATTCTTCTTCCCCTTGCCACCTGAAAATTGTGTAAATCAAGGTCTTGATCCCGCCATCAGATGTTAGATCTTCAATAGGAGCAGCAAGTACTTCAGGAAAAAGGGAAAAAATTAATTTGGTGCAAGAAGACAACTGCTGACAACTGACAAGTTACTGTTTTTATGTTCCAAAGTTCTTAAATATTCACCGCAGAAACTTAAAGGAACATGCATGAATTCTTCAAATTCAGTGTTCACTGAGATCCTTCGTTGTAAATATTCTAAAAGACCTTTCAATTGCAATTCAGTGAGTCCATCGATCATCGATGCTCAATGTCTGAGGATTCAAGTATGTTAATAAAGCTCTTCCATTTTGTTTTCAGGCTGAGATTTCTCTTTGCCGTGTCTACAAAAGAGCCGGAGTCGAAGACCATCCTTCTCTTCCACGGTCTCTTCCTACACGGGGTTCATCGTCTAGAGGAACACAATCGATACTCAAGAAACAGCACGAAATGACAAATCACGCCATGGAAAGGTTCCAAGCATATGGAGTTTCGTCCCAACAAACAGATGAAAAGATGAGCGAAACCAGTGCAAGCAGTGGCACAGCTGATATTGGGACATCTCTTGCTCTTTCAAAGCACAACTCTTACAACATCAATCCATTAGTCCCCATGTCCACTTCAATTCCTACTCCAAATTCTATAGAATTAGACAATAGAATGATGCAGTTACACGGATCAAAACAAACTTGTTCTTCTTCTTCTTTAGCCCCCAACTGCAGCACTTTATTTGCCAGTTCATCCCATAATGCAATTGATGATCTCCATAAACTAGTGAATTACTCCCAACAAGCTTCAATCAATCCAGAACCCGATCACCAGCAGTATCATAATAACGTGCCTGATCTTCTATCTCATTTCTCCACCTTGCAATCGCAACAGCCACAGTCTCTTAACGTGATTCCAGGCTCGTTTCAGGCCTCCTTGCCCGACAGATTATGGGATTGGAATGCTATTCAAGAAGCGAACAAAGATTACAACCCCTTCAAGTAATCAATGAATTGCACATATATATATATAGGTATCTTTATATTGTATGTCCGCTGCTGGTAGTTCATTGAGTCTCTCTCTCTCTCTCTCTCATATTCTGTAACTATATATATTGCAGAATCTATGTAAGTAATAATAATTATTACTTGTTATGGTTTAGGATTTAATTGCATTATGACTTGAGGAATTGTAATAAATATTAAATCTTTTAACTTCTGAAGACCATAATGGGATTCAGGAAAGAATTTGGCTTTAGGGTTTCTTTCTAATTAATCGAATGCGAATCATTTGTTGCACTGTTCCTTTTTTTTCCTTTTCAGTTGATACATTTCTGTATTTGGGATCTGCATAACGCTGATGGAAAAGATCCTTGTGGTGAGTGTTTGTTTTTCGTTGTCATTCCTTTTTGTACTTGTTATGGCTGTCAAGTTGTGTCTCTCCTGGGGAGCTCTCTAAGAAAAAAAACTATTATCCATGTGAGCATGATGATCCTATAATTGAACACGACTTGCAGAAGGATTGCTCAGAGACAAAAGAAATGCTGGACCCAAATTCACAAGGCAACATCCGCAGTTACTAAATTAAGACATTAAATTTGTCTAAATTTTTTTTAATTGGTATGTAAATTATAGAAGTAACTAATCCATTATGCATGTCATTTTTCATATGTTAGGAATGCATATTTCTATAATTAAGTCTTCTTGCTCAGATACTAAGTTAGGAGATCAAGAATCAAAGTGTTCAACCGAGGTGTACCAAATCAACCTGTGGGTGGCCGGATCGTTCGGTTCCCAGTTGAACAATCCAGGCAGACTCCACTTTTCAAGTGAAATCGGAGTAACAATTCAGCCCCTTCGCACCCACATATATATATAGTCCTCAAGGATTGGGTCCCAATACCGATTTAATTATTTCGCGTTTCAAACTCAAGACCTCCTCTTAAAAGAATTGAAATGTCGGTAGCGATAGTAATTAATCCATATCACTAAGAGCAATTAATAACGTGAAATCGAAAAAATCAAAACAAGCTCGATAAAAACACCCGTTTTGTTAATTTGCAGCTACATTTTTGGTGGGATAGGTCTAGATATAGCATTTATAATGTATATATTACACTTTCCTAGCTTTCACAATTGCAAGGGCGGCTATGTCCTAAGAGAAAGAGAGGTCCATTGATCTACCAACCAGCAAAAAGCCTAGGATATGCCAAACTCAGTAGCTATATTAAACAATAAGAAAGGCTTAAAAAATGTATAATTTAAGAGAGTAAGTATTAATTAGGTATAAATTATAATTGACTTACTGTAGAGGCTGAAAATTAGGATTTCAACAGGAACCTCAAGAACTACAGCAGTCTATGTAAGTTATGATGTGTAACTATCCATTATTCACGTAGTAGTGGTAAAGGAAACAAGAGGCGGCTATAATAAGGTGGATAGTTAATGGAGGGGCGCCGCAGTTCAAGTGGATATTGGCACATTGGCTGCTAAAAGAGGAAACTGAAGGCTTTCTTATTAGCAAGTAAACTGTAAGGTCAATTTCAAGTTTTCCTTTCTTTTCTTCTTTTATTTTTGAATATAAATGAAATTTGCAAAACTTTTTGTTGCACTTCGATACGAGTAATGTAAGTGCCCAGACGTTTTCTTACATACTATTCAATTTGGGAGAACATTTGCCCTCTTAACCTTTACGGCCTTCTATTGTCACGTTCTCTAGCGTTCGAACACATAGCCTCCCCTTAAGAGAAATGTAAGTTGAATTCTAGTACCAATTAAGTTTGGGCATGACGCCTGAGTTGTTACAAGTTATGTGTTTGTTTATTATAGGATATATTTGGAACGGAACTGATAAACATGCATAAAGTAAAAAATAAATAGAGTAATGCTATTTGTAAGTTACAATACGTAGGTATGAATAATTAGATAAAATTAGCATAATTCACGTAGATGAGGAAGGTAAGATAAAAATAATTGTTTGATATAATTTTTCTTCGATAAATTCCATACAATTTTTAGGCTTACTTGGGGTTTGACATTATCGCTCTATCCTAGTCTATTGTTACCAGCAAAATATGTATATGGAACGAACATGAAACCTTTATTTTTTTTATTTTTTATTTTTGGGTAAAAGCTCATTCGAGACAAGTAGAGGGCTTTAGTACTTGAAATTGAATGGAGGGTTTGACATTAACCCCTACACTAATTTATTGAGTAATGCTATTTATCGTTATAATGATAGAATATCGGTGATGTGCCAATTTAAATGGAATAATGGTATATGACAATTCAATTTTCATGAGAGAGAAGGGAATTGAACTATTTCATTCCATTATTTCAGCTAAATTATCACATCGCCAATATTCATAGCATTATTCTAATATATTCTTGAAAAAGCGTATATAGTGAGGGAAATGCAACCTCCAAAAGATAACATCAAGGACCTATACTATATCTTTTCTTTACAAAGAAGTAAGAAATATACTACACGATCTTAGACACTAAGCCTCCATATAGATGCAAATTCAGTCAAAATCAAATATTAATTTCAATTACATATTCATAATTACTGTTCATTATTATCTACAGATTTCGTAATACCTATTACTCTTTATAAATCATTTATAAATTTGCAAAAAATGGAGGCTTAATCTAAGCAAACAAAACAAATCAATATTACTTATTCTCTAGTTGGGGAGATATTGTTGTCCACTCATATTCGCCCTATAATTTTACCTAGGTCTTCTGCACACGGAATCTTGGATTGCCTCTCCTTGTACCCTATTAATTTACTCATGTTCTTATGTGGGGAAATTTACTCGATCATTGTGTGACTGAGGTTGGACTCCCTGGTTGTGCTAGGATACTGGTTGACAGGTCGACTTTAACTAAACACAATTTCGGGTCTACCCACGATCCCCACAGTCCTAATCCAATTTGCATTATGTCATGAATTATTAAATGCACTTTAGCCTGTTATTACATTAAATTAAAACTTTAAACTCATATTTTCTTTCTGTTGATAACTTAAGCATCGGAGAGGCTACTATAGGCTGGTTTCAGCAGATAATTCATAGGAAAGAATACAAAAGAAAACGTCAAGAAAAATAAGAGAAAACTTTTTTTATTCATCCAACATGCGAAAAGAGCTCACAAGCCAGGCTATATATCTAGAAAAATCGTGATTATCGAAATTTTACCAAAAATAGNGATTATCGAAATTTTATCAAAAATAGCAAAATCTCAATAGTCATACCAAAAGAAAGTACATAATAAAAGCAATATTATCCCAAAAATTTGGCTCAGATCGAGTTCAAAATCTATTTTAAAAAGCTACGAAATATTACCAAAAAAAGAAAAAAATAACTAAAATTGGGGATTTGAGAGGAAAACAGCAGATTGTGTCCATGAAATCGATGCGCATCAAGCTAAGCTAGGTGACCATTACGTGCGCGCCGAAAAGAGATTTCCGAATTTGGGTCATGAGCGCGATTCTGATAACCACAGCCAAACGTTTTGGTCACAATATCAAAACGTGTCCAAAAACTACTCCAATTAGAAAAAATTGTCAATTACTTGCCATTTTTGCGCTGATCTGCCAACTCATGGTACCTCTGTGCCATCAACGAGCTATCGGACAACTCGAAATCCTCTAACTCAGATCCTCCTGCATCAACGTCTCTTAGCTTTATTTCAGATTCTCATGTTAAGGCTAGAAATTAGACATTGTGCTGATGAAATCACAATCTTTTGAACTTCTTTGATTTCCTGTCACTCTCTGTGTCTGAGTTGAATTAAATTGTATTTTTTAGGATATTTGAGGATATAAACAGTGTCTAAATCTGGAATGTTCGTGGAGGAAATGGTCAATTTATATGTTTGGGTATCAAGATTTGCAAATGCACATAATTAATGTGTTAAGAGGCTGAGTTTCTGGGAACGAATAGCCTCCTTTGATCAATATTTCAATCATGCTACATAGCATTATTCTCAATCTTTTACTATCCCTTCTTGTGCATTGATTGTGATAGACTACAATGATGTCCTATGTTCAAGTCTCGTGCCACTTTTTTATGAAAATACTCAGTTAATTGGATTAGAATACCGCTATTTACATTCATACACGCTATAAATTCATCCACTAAAAACGCCATATTAGAAAGAGAGAAATATTTCATCTTTATAGCAAGTGAAATTCCAAAAAAATAATCAGCATCCATCTCTAGAAAACACAATCCGCGTCTATTCAAGAACTGCTAGTAAAAACCTAATTCTTCTAATTCATGAAGCTACGGGGGGGCACTGATAGCCATTGGAGCAGTGGCGGCTGTAGATAGAGAAGAAACCAATAAATTTAATAAGGACGGTACTGGAATGTGTATGGAGTGTGGTGGATATATGAATTCTATGGATGTAAATAGCGGTTCCCTTAAATTGTAATTAATTATCGCATACGAAGTTTAAAACTTCTAAGGCTTTCCTCTCCTCTTACATACATCACAATGAATGCATCATGTTTAAAATTGTGGCTTGTAGATATTTGGAGATATGCAAAAGAAATAATAAAACTTGATTACCTAATTCGCTTGATTTAAACTGCTAAATTCACCAATAACTTGAAACAAAATTATGGGTAGATGTTCTTTTGTTGTTAGCAATTAAGGAATCGTGAATTGAGTAGTTTGTAATTCATATTCCGAGCTACATAATTTTGTATTTGTTTTGAGTTCTACTTGAATTTAAGATTAATTAAGAGAACCACGACATGTTATTTTCTGCGAAAAATTATGGTTGGGTTCCCCGACTTTATACGTAATGAGGTTTTGGATTCCAAACTTTCAAACAGTAAGGTTACGGGTCCTTAATCTATTTAAACATGTAAATTGAGTTCTTGCGCAACATAAACAGATAATATGGATGTTAAACTTTCACATAACTTAAAGTTGATGGTGGTTTGACAGTTTTGTCCTCGAATTAGATGAAAGTCGCATATGATTTTGATATCAA